TGTTCCAATTCCAATTGGAATTTATTAGAATGCTCCAATGAAATTTTATTGGAACCATAAATGGCACAACACTGCCAGAATGGTCTCTTCTGTAATAACATTGTATATATAATAATAACAAACAATTATTTCATGTGGCCGAATGTAGAAGGTTGAGTTCCATGTGCTGAAATGGCCCAAGAGGAATTACTCTACAAAAAAATAACAAAAAAAAGTTTGGACAGCTGTCCTATTTATATGTTTCGAATTTAATAAAATAGATTATTGTCTTGGCCCAAGTGATGTCATTTTTTTGCTCTTTGTGACAAAGAAGTCAACTTAATTAAATTTTATTCTCACATAGCATGGTATGCATGTTTTGTAACACAAAAAGCAAAAGCTCACATTGTGTTCTCAGTTATAAGCTTGTTTAAAGTAAAATGTACCTATAACTAGAATAAGATCATTTCAATTTACAGAATAGGTACTAGTGCTGAATAGATAGATGCAGAATGAATACATACTAATATATTTTCCAATACTAATATCCTAAAAATATGGAAACCACACAAGTATTTTTGGTCTGGGCAATAAAAAAGGACATCATGATTTGAAAAAAGATTTTTAAAGAACAACATCTTGAAATCTTATTATGCAAAATGGGTATGGTCTTTTTCTATTGTCCAGACCCTTCTGTATGTGAAAGTCCATTTTTTTCTATATTAATATGTATATTCCACATTAGTATGTGTTCATTTAACATTTAACATTAAGTTAAGATTGGATGGATATAAAAAACCTTGTCAATCTTAACCAAAGAAATACAAAATAAGGAAGTATCTTGCATAAAAACATCAACAGTTCTTATATATATGGGGCATGCTGCAACAAAACCAGACAAAGTGAACATTACATTGTAAAGAAACTTTAGTTCAAATTGGTGATAATAATAATTTTTAAAAAGAATTAATTCCTATTTATTTTTATCACAACTTATGCTTCTTGTTGTTCTTAATAGTCCCTTTACTTTTATCTTTTTCTTAAAAGGAAACTAAAGTTGTTAGCCAAAACTACCCCTCTTAATATTAATTTTTGTTTTGTTTAAAAAATTCAATTACAAATAGAGATTGGATTTATTTTTTTATTAAAGCAAATAATATAATATCATGTTTTTTTTTCTAGGAGTTGAAGAAAAAGTTGAAGGAGGAGGAATGTAAATATGAAAAAGCAGATATTAAATACATCATCACATTAGCTTGCAACCTTTGATTTTGGTCTTTTAGGTGGTGATTCTTGTGTTTGAGTTATTATTTCTTGGAATTTTCTTTTTAAAATTTGTACCTCATCACCATTAAAACTGAAATGTTGAATTTTGGATGACTCTTCCTTTATAATCATCTGCAAAACAATGATCAAGATTGTGTCAGATAAAAAATTTCAATAAGATAGTTTTATGATTGATAATAAACAAGACTTACCATAAATTCAAGAAGTTTTATGATTCCAGCTTTCATTTGGTGGATCATGCCAGGGTGTGATGCTATTGTAAAACTACTAAATTCTTCATAAATATAAATACCATCTTTCCACATAATTGTCATTTTCATTTCATATAAGTAACCAAGTACTCCAAAACAGGGTTGGCAAATGTGTGGTCCATTGATGGTCCATTGGTGGTCCATTGGGTCCATTAGTGAACACTTTAACCATATTTAGTATTTTACTAATGGCAATGGACCAGTCCAAAATCCATCTGTTCTCAATGGATCAGTCAATTTGCCAACCCTGCTTCAAAAACTAAACGGTCATTATAATTGACATCTCCTAGTTTCATTGCTTGTAATATCCTCAAATTTAAACAATCTTGTAATTCTCTATATAATTTAAACCAGTCAGTAGTGTATTTTGTAAGATCAGGATTTGTTGGGGCACCAGCTTGCTCACCCACAAATAGCTCTTCTTTTGTATCCCAAGTCCATGCCAAAATATCTGCAAACTTCCCATCAACAACTTTTTCAAGTGCATGATTTAATCCAAAGTTTTTTCAATATTTTGAAGCATAAACTGGGACCTCCATGCTAAAAAATTCAATAAGATCAATTCAATATAATATTAAAATTTTCCTATTGAACCCAACACTTACATCCTCCAATCTAAATTTGCAAAGTATTGTAATGCCTTTGAAAAGAAGCGATGTGCAAATTCAGCCCAATAATGATGCTCAGATGTATCTGGTGAGCTAATATCTGGCAGTGGTTTTAGAAAGGATTCAATCCTATAAAATGAGATGAAAAGTTGAACATTAGTTGAACCAAGCAATGAATAAATGATATGAATTAAACAATTGTCTTTTTAAATGTGTAATGCTTACAGTGGTGACATGACACAATTGAGGTATTTTTTGAACTTAATAGCTTCATTGCTATCACTATCTTTGACAGCATTAAGCTCATCAGTTACCTTGACCCACTCATGTATTGTTTTTGGTGACCCACCACTTGAAATAGTCTCCTATAAGTATGAACAATTGATTTGTAAATCTTATAAAAACAAATAACATTTTATGTATGCTTACTGAAAAGTAATCATTTAAAATTTGCTTCCAACATTCAGGAATCTCAGCTATTCTTTTTGGTTTAATTGACATAAGTTTAATATATTGTTCAAGTGGTATGGAATTGGAAAATCCACTCTCACCACAAATGTCCATTACATCATCATTTGTACATCTATACATTAAAGATATTAAGATATTAGTGCTTCAGTGGCAAGATTTCGTGTGGCATTATATAGTAAACACTCTTTTAAAGGTAAAGCAGAGAAGGTAGGTTAAACACTTATGAATATGGATTACTTAATTGTGTTTCTTTGTATTCATTGAAATATGAAATGAATTCCTTGAAGTACTGTTCAATGTTAGACCCATTCAGTATTTGGAATGTGCACACAACAAGAATATTTAAGCAATAAATATTTTCAGAGTAAAAAAAAAAATACTTTTGATTCATCTGGACTCGCAAGGCTTTCAGCAGCAGCTCTGAGTAGTTTATCAGATTTTATTTGATTCACTGGAGTCCTACAATCTGAATTATCATCAATTATATCTTTTACATAATGGACGCAGATGTCAGATTAATGTAAAAGTTTTAGGACAGTTGATAAATAGAATGAGCAAATTCTCACCATCAGATAAAATTTCTTTGTCATCATCACTAATGTAAACAAGATTTTTGTCAATTGATGATCATAGAATTTTATTGTAACTAGAGTAACGACAAGTGGCGGGCAATAACCACCACCACCATCCTTAAAACACTTACCCATAGATTTCTTCTGCTTCTTTTTCTTTGCTTCTTTGATTGTCGTTGTTTTTATTTGGAATTTTAAAAAAATTTTAAAAAAGGAGTTTGTTGTGTGATCGACGCGTACACGCTAATTATTTATTCTATTACTATTGGTTTTTTTTTTGGGCGAATTGATTGATTTTTTTTTTTTGGAAAAACAAAAAACAATTTATTTTTTGACAGAGCACAAGGTGACAAAACGCGAGTGTTGTTGTTTGGTTTGGTTTGGTTTGGGTCTCCTAAAGAAGAAGTGTTAATAACTAACCAGAGGTACTATTTTTTATTTGTATTATCTTTTTTGGTTATTATAAATAGTTTAATTGGAATCAAAATGTGGAGCAGATCTTGCTGGGTAATTACAAGATTTTCATTGATAATATTGATAATATTTT